AAAAAAAAAATGTTTTGGGGCTGTTTTCAGTTGGCTCCATGTTTGTGTATGGAATATATTAGTTAATTAGGTACATAGTTTAAATTAGTGCTTTATCATGCAAACTCCCAGTAATTAATACAACTTTAATTAAGGTTATAATGTAAAGTATTATTTCTTCTTTCATGTAGCTTTATGACTCTACATCTTTTATTATATGTATTAGTTTTAACAAGCTTTACTGAATACACTTCTGAGTGATTGGAACTGTTGTCACTTGTCGATGTATATAACATGATCACACTTTGATGTGCGACTATGTTATAAATAAATGTGTTCATATATGCGTGGGAGTATATGAAGTGTTTGATCATTCATGTCATAAAACCGATGTCTGTGTGCTTCTGCATCGTCCAGGTTGTAAGATCAAGGCCTTACGTGCCAAAACAAATACCTACATAAAGACTCCAGTCCGAGGCGAGGAGCCGGTGTTCATCGTGACGGGACGCAGGGAGGATGTGGAGATGGCCAAACGTGAAATTGTCTCTGCAGCCGAGCATTTCTCTATGATCCGGGCGTCCCGCTGCAAAGCGGGAGCACCTGGAGGAGGGGCAGGGGGAGCAGCAGCAGCAGCAGGAGGAGGAGGAGGAGGAGGTTCTCTTCCTGGACCACCACACTTACCTGGGCAGACCACCATACAGGTACACAAACTCCTGTGGCTTCTTCAGCAGGCTGTGTTTGTTCTCTCTCCGGTTGTATGAAATGCAGTTTTTCTCAGACGGTAAATATTTCTTTTATCCCTGATCCAGGTGAGAGTGCCCTACAGAGTCGTTGGTTTAGTTGTTGGACCAAAGGGAGCAACCATAAAGCGCATCCAGCAGCAGACTCACACCTACATCGTGACACCCAGTCGAGAGAAGGACCCGGTGTTCGAGGTGACTGGCATGCCGGAGAACGTGGACCGAGCGAGAGAGGAGATCGAGACCCACATCACCCTGCGAACTGGAACCTTTGTGGACCTGCAGGGAGACAATGACTTCCACTCCAATGGCACTGACGTCAGTCTAGAAGGCCTGGGCTCCCTGAGCGGAGGACTGGGGGCGTCTCTGTGGTCCAGGGCTACCGGCCACCATTCTGCCCCCCCTCCTCCTCCACCCTCCCCACCTCCTCCCATTCCCATGTCCATGCACCACTCCTCCAGCCGCAAGATGTCCTCCTCAGTCGCCTATCACACGCACAACGGCGGAATGAGCTCAGACAACTTCAGCGCCACTCGCAAGGCCAACGAAGGAGGTAGTCCCACTAGCCCCTTTAGCACCGGCTCCAGCAGCGCTGGAGGAGGATTCACTTTCGGGGGCGACTCCACCCCGGGGTTGCCCTCCTCAGAGGAACTGGGCTTTGAGTTCACCGCTTCCAACATCTGGGCACCTTTCGTCAACGGTGGAGCGGGCAATAAGACAGCCGGCTCCTCGCAGCAGCAGCCTCTACGTCGCAACAGCAGCGGCCTCAGCGGCGGTGCCATCACTCCACGATTGTCTCCAACTCTGCCTCAGGACACAGGCGTTGGCCCCCTGGATCACCCATTAGCCCGTCGTGCCCAGAGCGACCCCCTCAGCACTCTCTCCTGGCTACAGTCCGGCAGCGCGGGAGGTGGCTCCTTCTCCGGGGCGTCCAGCTCCAGCTCCGGCGGTTCGTCGACGGGTTACTCCTCATGCTCGGCCTCCTCCCTGCCCGGCGGTTCACCCACTGACTCCGAGGGAGGCGGCAGCGGCGTGGGCCTCAGCTCTGGGATGCTGAGCCGGCTGAAAAGCAGCTCCGGCCCCGGGGTCGTGGGTCTCGTTGGCGCCAGCCCCGGGATCAACAGGGACTGCTTTGTGTGTTACGAGAGCGAGGTGACAGCAGCCCTGGTGCCTTGTGGCCACAACCTGTTCTGCATGGAGTGTGCCGGGCAAATCTGCCAGTCAGCCGAGCCAGAGTGCCCCGTCTGCCACACCCCCACTACACAGTGCATCCGCATCTTCTCGTAATGCCCTGGC